TCCCAAAAATAAATAAAAAAACGTTGGAAAAAAAAAATTTAAAATTCAAAAACAAAAATAAAAGCAAATAAAAAACTAACCAAGACACAGCAAAGCCACGTGTCACCCATTCCTTCTTCCCTTATGATAACTATTCTGAATTTGGCATTTCTTTTTCATATTCAGATTTTGATACATTTACCACTCTTAATGTATTTATAAATAATATAATTATTATCATCCACATTTTAAAATTTTATATGAATAGCCTCTTACTGTGTGATATGCTGTTTTGCGTGTACTTATATTTATGTTTCTGAGGAAAGAGTTTCCTTTTTTAACTCCTGAGATGCAGCTGAGACCTAAACTTTGGGTTCCAGGAGGAAATCTCTAAATCTTCCTGGCCCCTCACCTTGCTGCCTTGGCGTCCATTCTTCATCGGAATCCTCAGTGTCATCTACTTGGGGTTTGATGGCCTGCCTGCGGTGACACATGAAAGCTGGTCGAGGGGCTCTGAGACCTGGAAAGAAGCAAAATCCTTATCCTAAGAGGGAAGATCTAGAAGGAGGAACAAAGCACGGTAGCAATGGAGCACATCTCCTAGTCAGTGCGACTCAGTTGTATGGGCTGGGAGAGTCTAGAACAAGGCAAGAGATGAGCTGTGCATTGCCAGTGCAAGCCCTACACTGATAGAAGAGAACAAAATTTCATTCCAGATTTGTCTTCACACAGAAGGGAACTGTGATCAGACAGAGCCACCCGAGAGGCAAACTAATATAGGGACTGAAGGCCTGATTCATGTTTCCCAGGCTCCTCAGCACCCAGCACTTCTGGTTACCTATAGTCATCAGCGCTTCATAGTTCCTTTTCACATTCCTGTATCGGATTTTCTCCCAGTCTCCCATCTCTGTCCATTCTTCCTTGGAGAAGTATATGGAAATGTCTTTGAAAGCATCTTTGGCCTAGAGAAAATAAGAGATCCCATCAGTGACTTACTAATCCAAGTCAGAACTTAGAGCCAGGCCTTCTCCTCCACCTTGTATGTAGTGTGTACCCTGCTTCCTGGGTGCTCTCTGTTAAACGAGGGTAAAGCGTTTCTGTCCTTCTTGATGGTGTCCTGATCAATTGAACAAACACTAAGCATTTTACTAGCTCTCTCTTGGCAAAGGGAAATCGCTGATGCTACTCTCCCGTGTAACTTCCTCCCCCACCCACGTCCTGTAAAGGAGTGAGTGCCCTTTATCCTGTGTACATTCACTGGTGTAGGCCAGGAGCCTGTGGTCCTCCAAGGACCAGCTCCTGGTCACCAGGCCCCTCTCTTCATCCTCTCCAAGAAGTCTGGAGCCCAGCTTCTCCCACACCTCTCACCGTGGGCTTCCATCTTGCTTTCCTTGAGCTTCTCTCAGTGGACTGCTCCGGGAATCTGAGGGGGCTTGTGGTGCTGGGACCTCCAGGCTGGCCCCGCTCTGACTCTGAGGCTGGCAATGGCTCCATGAGTCTCTTTGTCCTAAGGCCGAGGCACCTGTGGAAGGAGAAGGTGCTGACAGGGGGTGACAGCGCAGACCACTGCCCAGAGCCATGTCTGTTTTCTCCATCTGGGTGGGGTATCCAGAAAAGATGTGGGCAGCCCATGGAGGATTAGAAGATGCAGGGGAAACCTGCGGGTAGTGATGGGATGGAGAACCTCTACTGGCAACGACAGGCCATTCTAACGTGAGCTAGATTTTGTTTCTTTTATTCTACTGCAGCTCGGCCCATATGAGGAAAGGTCGCAAAGGGATGTGGCTGTGGGCGTTTGGTTAGAGTGGTGAGGTGCAAGGCCAGAGGAGTACCAAGGAGGCCTGGAGGCCCCTGAGTGCCGGCCCGTTCCGGGGAGAGTAAGTGAATATTTCTCAAAGAAGCGCTTCTTGGGATGTGCACCTGGGGATTCTGGAAAAATCTGGTATAAACAGGCTCAGTCTCTAAGGGACAGAGATGTCTCAGGGTGAGGAGATTTGGTCTCTCGCAGGCTGAGGGAATTGGGGTTTCTTAAGTCAAGGGGATTTGGGGCCTCAAGATGAGGACACTTAGGGTTCCTCAGGCTGATGATATTGGCAGTCTCTCAGGACGAGATTTGGGTCTTTCTGGCTGAAGAGGTTTAGAATGCTCAGGTTGAGAGGATTTGGGATCTTTGAGACTGAGGAAATGTTAAGTCATATTCTGAGGAGATTTGGACTCTCTCATTAATGGGCTTTATGTTTTCTGACATTGAGGTTATTTGGGGTCTTTGAAGCTGAAAGGATTTAAGAGTTCACAGGCAGGGGCTGTTCAGGGTCTCTGACATTGGGGAAATTTGTTCTCTCTGTGGGTGTTACATTTCAGGCTCCTCGGGCTGAGGACATTTGGGGGTCTAAGACTTGGGGGGGGTTAGCGTTTCTCTGGGTGACGCGATATGAGGTTTCTGCAGCTGAGCTGCTTTGGGGTCCAATGCCGTGGAGACGTGAAGTTCCACGAAGTTAGCGGATTTGGGTTCCCTGAAGGCGGCGGGATTGGGTGTCCCTTGAGGCTGAGGGGATTTGGAGCCTTTCAGGGTGAGGGGATCTAGGGTCTACCAGGCGGGCTTTGAAGGGCTCAGGATCAGGGTTTACAAGGGTTTCACACGGCACGGCAAAGTCCTCGGTGTTTTCGTCAGTCTACCGGGCCTCTGTCGTTGCCCACCAGGATCTGCCGCCCGCTCCTGAGCCCCGGAGCGCTGTGTGCCGGGAGAGAGTCCAGACACAGCGGAGGGCGAGATACCCGCTTATACCGCCCTGTCAGGCAGGAGCCACCAATCAGCGCTGCAATCGAAGCGGTCCCTCCAATTGGCGGTCAGGAGGGGTCTGATGGGGCGGAGCGTAGGGCGAGCCGTGTGTGTCAGTCATTGGCCGAACGCCACCCCTGTGGATGCTCCCGCCCCACCCCGCGGGGATTGGCTGCTCTGAGTCCAGCGCGTGTCTCTCAAGAAGGCTCCCCCCGCTCCCCCCCCCCCACCCCCCCGGCCCCGGGCATTCTGGTAGTTTTCATCACTTCCCTTCCGTACCCGCCCCGCTTCACCCGCAGTCCTTGGTGAAGGACGCGCAGGGCCGGAGACTGCGCAGGGCGTCCTGCAGCGCAGGCTGAGTTTGGAGCGTTGAGCTGACGGCAGGGCTTTAGGGTGGACATAGGCATCCTGTGTTCTGAAAACATTCTTTCTCTACCAGACTTTTATCAGGCTCTGGAAGGGTCTCCTAGGCCCATCTGTCTCCGTCCTTGTAAAATCCACTTTTAGCGAGAGCTGTATGACCCGTTAGTATATAGTGAATATCGTATTACATTCAGGGGACAACTATGTAATTAAGTATTGTCTGGTGAGACGGTGTGTAGAGACACCAAATAAAATCTCTACGGCTCAAAGATTTAAACCCAACAAATGGAATAGTAAGTATATTAGAAAACAACTCGGGGGTCGGATTCCTAATGAAAAGTAGAAGTGGCATTCGTGAGTAATAGGCGTGTTTAGATAATGCAGGTCCAAAAGTCATCAGAAGTAGTGCTCGCTTGGCAGCACGTAGACTACAATTGGAACAATATAGAGAAGATTAGCATGGCCCCTGTGCAAGGATGATACACAAAACTTTGAAGCATTCTATATTTAAAAAAGTCAAGAGAAGTAAGAAGACGTAAGTAAAATCAAAGAAAAAAATGAAAAAAATTCGAGTATTTTGCATAAAAATGAGGCATCAAATACAGGACAATGAGTCCATGGTGGGGGGGGGGCACTGGCTTTCAGAAGATAAAAAGGGAAGAGTGTTTCTGACCCTTACCAAGTGTTTTTTTTTTTTTT